TATAGAAGACTCTAGATGATGGACTGTCTCTTGTCTCCATCTCAGTCCCACTGAAGCTATGAATTCACAAACGAGGCTCTCAGGAGGGAATGTTTTCTGCCTCCTCCCGTGTTCACTGTACACATAATGATATTTGGGGATCCCTAGCCAGAAGGTCTATTGTGCTGTGTTTTAGATCTTTTCCTGATCCTCTGGGCCCCACCAATCAGAATTTTAATATCTTCTATCCATCATCTGGTCAGTCCCTAGCTGCCACAGCTGATCAGGCTGTTGAACTCTAAGGATGGAATAAGATAATTCATATGAAAGGACTTTCAAGTGGCAAAATATGGGGATGCCCATAAAAGCTGCCTTTCCCTTTTTTAAAAAAATAGATATTATGTCTAGATTATCCTTGCTTTTGTTTTGGGGGGTTTTGTTTTTTATTTTAAGTAAGAACAGTGATTAGGTAGTTTAGGAAACCTTGTTTTTTATTTTAAGTAAGAAGAGTGATTAGGTTGTTTAGGAAATCTATACAAGGTGGTGAGCAAAGCCAGATTATCAGTGATTAAGCAAGGAAAGGAAGGGTGAAGAGAAGAGAGGAAGAGGTTAAAACACAAAAAGCAGTGTCCCATCTGGGCAGTCTGAGAAAGTCTACTGTGCTCCCTTGGGCTATCAACAGCATCTGGCAACTACCATTGTAGGATTTCTCACAAGAGTTAGCTAGTTAGACTCTAAAAAGTAAAAACTAGGAGAAAAATATGTGGACATCACATGTCTACTCTCACATTCTCATGGAAGAACTTTTACAGAGGCAGAAACGAAGGTGCTTTAACAACGAATGGCCCAAGTGGGAGATGCTGGTCCAGACATCAAAATACTCCCTTTTGGTGGGGTGGATCTTGCCTGAAGAATACTGAGGGTTCCCACCCCACTCACCTCTGCCATCTCATGCGTAGTATTCTCATGATCTCATTTGCTTATTTGGAAATACAGTGAACAAAAAAACTTGTAAAAATCTTTTTTTAAAGTTTTATTTATATTCTTTATATTCATTTACAATTTTTGTTTGTCAGAGGAGATGATGGGGACCATTTACTAGCTTCCGAGTGGTGGTCCTAATGCAGGGAGAAAGTCCCAGTGCACTTAGGTGCTCTCTGGGGCCCATGAGCTTCCTTTGGCACAGAGTTAGGTGGCTGAGTCTCTCAAGTGCACGGTCTGGATGTGCAGGGAGAAGTGGAGCTGAGACTAACCCTGGATCACCCCTTGTGCTCCAAAGCCCTGTTGAACCAGAACAAAATCAAAAGCAGATTTATTATACATACTTTCCATACCACACCTGTGGATCTGAAACACTGTTAACATGATTATAGTAAATATTAAAATTCTTTCTTCCTTGGATGATCAATTTTAGGAAGGATTTTTCTCTTTTTTCATTTGATGATTAATGTTCATTAAAAGAAAATGTTGAAGGGCGGATTAAAAAATTCATGTGTTCTTTGAGTCCCTTCTACAAAAGATAGACACTAGTTCTTGGAGCCTTCTGGGTCCTCTGGGTTCCTAATGACATAAATTCTCCCAGCTGAAGCCACCAAATCATAAATGTGGCTCCTAGAAGCTTCTTTGTATTTGGTCTTCCTACGTCCATGGAAGATGTGATTCCGGAATGTGGAAATCTGACCTAGGCTTTTCAGATAAAGAAGGGTTTATTCCAGTGTTTTCATACATACGAGGGACATATATTCTGGAATAGGAAGACAAGCTTTTGCAAATAACTGTTGTCAACGAATGCAAGCGGTGCCCTCTTCAGGTTGAAGAAATAATAACAGAGGTAATTCCTCTGATTCACTCCTATACACAGGAAGAACTTGGTTTTGTCAAGAAGTCTGTTCTAGAAGTAATCTGTTTATATAAATTTCAGAATTCTGTTTACACTCAATGATAAGAACTTGATATTTAAAATATACCTTATTCTCCTTTTTATCACAGCTTTTAAAAATCCTACCTTTAATCCTGTCTTACCTTTTCAAAGAAACCTTCTGTGACAAGGTTAGAATGTACCGATTTTCCCCCTTAATATACTGTCATGAATATATGATGATTATGAAATACATTCTAAGCATAATCTTTAGCTTTATCGAACAATTACCATGTGCCTGACACTGTGTCAAGAGCACTGAGGAATGCTGAACTATACAAGGCAAAATTCTGTCCTCCTAGAGACTAGAATAAGAAGTAATATTGGTACCTTGAAACAGTAGCAAATGCTTTAAGAAGGTAAGTCACAGGCACCTGGGAGGCTCAGTTGGTTAAGCATCTGACTCTTGATTTTGGCTCAAGTCGTGATCCCTGGATCGTGGAATCGAGCCTGCATTGGTTGGGCTCCATGCTGAGTTTGCAGCCTGCTTGGGATTCTCTCTCTCTTTCTCTCCCTCTGCCCTTCTGCCCCTCTCCCCTGGTTGCGTGCAAATGCACATGCGTGCTCTCTCTCTCTCTAAGAAAAAAGTACATCACTACGAGTCAAATTGTTTTGTTTAGATTCAATATCTAATTGCAAGACATTAGAAGAAAAGGAATTCAAGGATTCTCTGTTAGAGATGAACCTTTGGAGGAGATAGAGCCTTAAATTGTGCTTATATAGGACTAATATGATTTAGCTAGCCTGAGATACACATAAAAGGGAAATTTGGGTGAGTGGAACAAGTAGAAAAGAAATGCAAGAGCTTGAAGTGTTTATGGGTCCATGAGGAGAATAGACTGGAATAGAGCTATGTTTGGAGAAGAAGTAAGAATGAGGTTTAAATAGTAGAGGGTAAGCAGACGTAGGGAAGGAGTTAATGAGAAGAGTTTAATTTGGTATGTAAAGTTTTTGTGTGATAAAAAGATGTGATCACACATCTGCAGGGCCTGGAGTTTCATATATGTGATCTGTTTCACCGTCTTTTGAAAAATTAAGGTGACATCTTCTACGTTTTCAATTAATCACTCAAGTACCCACTTGCTGTTATTAGCAACCAGCCCAGTAAAGTTCATCTTGAACTCTCTTCTGTTCTTTCTCTATTAAATTTTCAAAGAATGTGTTAATTTTGTCTTCCACCCCAAATAGAGACTGAAGCAAGGACTCAAGTGAAGGTAGTTTATTTAGAAGAGATCTGAGGCAGTAGAAGTGAGAAAATAGGTAGCATAAAATTGGGACTTGATTCTGCCAGGATCTCCTGGTTAACACACAGGAAGCCCCTCTGGGACCCTCTGCTAGAAGGCAGGCAGGCCGTGGTCCTCTCTCCACACTGGTTGAGACTTGCCAGCGGGGGTGGTAATTCTCCTGTGTTTATCCACAGCCTGAGTGAGCTCCTGAGGAGTCAGAGAGGGCTCTGGCATAAGAAGTAAAAAATACACTGTGCATGTATAATGTTGGATGTTATCAGCTTGTCCACAGAATTATCTACCATACCTCTTGATAGGATCAAAGCTGGGCATTTGGACATGACCACAAAGCACCTCAGATCTTGATGACAATGCTTTCTTTGCACTACTCAGGTGAGGATTCGCCCTGTATAATTTTCACTGTGTCACAGAGTCTTCAAGGTTGTGGTGGGCTGAAATCCATCTAACACACTTAATACTGGAGGGTTGTACAATATGACCTTCAGGCCCGGCTTCTCTAACTGGCACCAAGGCTATAATTAAAACTCTTCTCCCTCCCCCCCCACACTCTGTAGGTTTCCTTGCCTTTGGATGGGACTTCACTGGATCTAGATTGCTTGCCTGATAGGGGGACCCAGACCTTCATTGCTCAGGGGTCTCTGTTCTTGTTTACTTTGTCCTTTTCAAGCCACAACTGCCACTTGCGGCTTTTATTGGGCATGACACATTCCTCTTTGCCCTCACTGTGTAATAACCCAATGCTCCATGATAATCAGAGTCAGTCATTCCTCCTTTCTTTGCCTACTGGACAATTGGCACAAGGAGTTCGAAATGGCATAGGCGGCAGTCAGAGAGGCAAGTTCAGTGGAACTCTTCCTGAAGTCTCTGGTGGAAGCATTCTTCCTCTGGGTCCTAGGACCTTTAATCCAGCAGAGCCTAAGGCTGTAGAAAAGGGCAACACAAATTCTGGAAATGAGTTACAAGGAGTGATAGTAGAAGAGTCTAGTATACTTCCAGTTCTTCATTTCTAAATTTGCATATTTTAACTAGGGTGACAGAGCACCATATATCAGCCATTGGTTTAATGAATACTACCACTTCCAGGAACATAGCATTCCAACCGCAAAGGGTGATGCCATTGAGCTGGCTTCTTAACTGAGCCTTTAATAAGCCATTCCATCCTTCTTCTAAGTCATCTGACCTAGGTACCATGGGTCTAGGTCAACTTTTAGGTCTATGGAAGGGCCAGTGGACCCTTTCCTTGGTCATGCCTTCAGCTGTCACGCCCACTGTATTCTTTTTTTTTTTTTTTTAATGTTTTTTATTTATTTCTAGGAGATAGAGAGAGAGACAGCATGAGCAGCAGAGGGTCAGAGAGAGAGGAAGTCACAGACTGAAACAGGCTCCAGGCTCTGAGCTGGCAGTCATCACAGAGCCCGACATGGGGCTTGAACCCACGAACCGCGAGATCATGACCTAAGCAAAAGTCGGACGCTTAACCGACTAAGCCACCCAGGCACCCCACGCCCACTGTATTCTAAAATAGGTACCTTGTTCAGAGAGATTCAGTTTTAGACATGGATGGACAATAAAAAGAAACACCAACTAACAAAATGGAAAACATTATCAATTTTGGAAGTATGAGCTGCCAGGCAAATCACAAAGATTTGCCGGGCAGAGGACACTCTTAGGAAGTCTGATCTGTCACATATACCAGACAAAGCGATAAGGGTTACGTGTGACAGAATGTATGAAGATAACTTTGTAAAACTGGAAAACACCATATATGTTATTATTTTTACTGTTATTTTAAGGATTGTAGTTTACAGATACCCTTCTCTCTGTGTTTCTTATATTCACACAGAAGGAGCTTTTATTCCAAGAGAAGTCAAAGATTTTCTATATTCCTGGTGCCCTAGCCACTCCTCCCACCCCCGACCTCTGCACAGATGCTGAGGTCTGAGGTTTCTGTAAGCCTCTCCCGGTTGCTCCTGTCACTGTGCCTCCCTGAGAGCACAGAAATACATTGCAGCATCCTCCAGCCGGGAGTCTGAGATCCTGAGACTGAAGGATTTGTCTGCCCTCTGGAAGTTCACAGAGAAGCGATCATTTGTTGCATTCTCTTGCTTATAAGCTTCTTGGCGAATAATGAGAACCATCTCCCCGCTGGGAGGCTGTTTGTACCAGAACAAATAATAATCACTGTCACGAGTGTCAAACGTGCAGTCCAGGGTCACAGTGTCTGCCTCCTGCACGGACATTTGTGGTTGAGTCTGAGTGACCGTCTGGGCTGTGCTGGATCCTGTGGGAAAGAGGAGAAGGTGTCACACCAGAGAGATAAGGCAGGCAGACTCACAGGCTGATCCCATCCCCAACCATCTTTCTTCTGGATCCAAACCCCAGGCAGCACATATCAGCTTTCCGCCTCCCCATAGCTGGGCTCTGAGGTGATGCAGTCCCTACACTATTAATCTCTGGTTCACAGCCCCATTGGATAACACCGTACGTGAAGACCCCCACCTTCTTACCGACACGGGTGGACAGCATGACTGCCCACAGTAAGCCGAGCAGCAGCATGCTGACCGCTCTCCTTTGCAGGTGAAAAGAGACTCTCGCTCTCATCTGGGTTCTCCTCTGTGCTCCGGGGCACTTCTGCTTCAGAGCAGGAAATGATCTGACAGGTGGGTGGCTGATTCTGTCTCACTGAGAAAAGTTTTCCTAAGACTTTTGGTCTCCCTTTCAGAAAATAGGCCTTTGGTTATACAATTTCAAATGAAAATGTGAAAATGTGAAATGTTTTCTGAGTCCTATTCTGGGATGAAAATAAAGGAGAAAGGGAGCCGGCAAATTTATTTTTTTTTTTATTTTTTTTTTAAAATTTTTTTTTTATGTTTTTATTTATTTCTAGTAGAGAGAGAGAGACAGCGTGAGCAGGGGAGGGTCAGCGAGAGAGGGAGTCACAGACTGAAACAGGCTCCAGGCTCTGAGCTGGCAGTCAGCACAGAGCCCGATGCGGGGCTCGAACCCACGAACCGCGAGATCATGACCTAAGCGAAAGTCGGACGCTTAACCGACTAAGCCACCCAGGCGCCCCCGGCAAATTTATTTTTGATACGCCCCAATCTTGGAGAGGAGAGCCGGACCTTGGGCGGTGGGCGGAAGTGGCCGGTTTCCTTTCTGACAACAGCAGGCTCTTATTTTTCTTTTTTTTTTCCTTCAAAAATAAAAATGATAAGGGTGCCTGGGTGGTTCAGTCAGTTAAGCGTCTGACTTTGGTTCAGGTCATGATCTTACTGTTCATGGGATCGAGGTCCTCTTTCCGCACAGACCCGCTTCTGATCCTCTGTCCCCCTCTCTCTCTGCCCCTCCCCTGCTCGTGCTCTGTCTCAAAAATAAATAAAACATTAAAAAATAAAACAAAAATAAAAATGACAAAACAAATACGAAAGTATCAACAATTAGTTATGCATGATAGGAATATACCTGTTATATTAATGTATTCAATTTTTTTACATTTCTACATTTTCTCAACATACCGAATGAGATAAGTATAGATTTAAAATATTTTTTTCAATGTTTTTATTTATTTTTGAGAGGGAGGGAGAAAGAGAGAATGTAAGCAGGGGAGGGGTAGAGAGAGAGGGAGACAGAATCTGAAGCAGGCTCCAGGCTCCGAGCTGTCAGCACAGAGCTTGACGCAGGGCTTGAACCCACAAACCATGAGATCATGACCTGAGCTGAAGTCCAATACTTAGCCGACTGAGCCACGCAGGCACCCCAAATATATTTTTTGAGAGAGATAGAGTGTACATACACATGCATACACACATACAGTGGGGGTGAGGGCAAAAGAAGAGAGAGAGAGAATCCCAAGCAGGCTCTGAATTGACAGTGCAGAGCCTAATGTGGGGTTTAAGCTCATGAATGGTGAGATCATGACCTGAGCCAAAATCAAGAGTTGGACACTTAGCCCATTGAGCCACGCAGGTGCCCCTAAAGATGGATGTTTGTAACTGGAAAGAGCACTGACTAGATTCAGAAGTGGAACATGTTGTGTCTAACTACGTTCATATTTTCCATGGATTCTTTAAAAAAAAAAAAAGTCCTTGTCTGTGCTGCATCAGGAAACTAAAACAACTATGGTGGGAGTTCTCACCAGCATTAAGTTGCTCACTCAACTCATATGAAGAATTGTTTTCCTGACTCTTATTCCATCTTGGGGAAGTGTTATTGAACAAAGAATGTTTAAAAAAATACATTAGAATTTTGCTTTTCCAGACATAGTGACAGAGATACTTATGTAATTCCAGAGTTGGAGTCCTCAAGCTGGGAGTAAAAAAAAATAGGGTCTTGTCGCAGACAAGGTCGTGTCTGAGAAGCAGGGGTTCTCTGTGACCCAGAAGTAGGTGGTTGAGTCTCTCCACCAGAGAGATGTGCAGGGAGTCATGACAGTTGTGACCAGTCCTGAATGAGGCTATGAAAATTCCGTGTTCCACCAAACCCAGTTTGATAGCAATGGAAGAAGGAGCACCATTATTTCTTCTAGATTATCTCCATCTTTGTGCTATGATTTGAATTCCTGTATCTTGGTTTGAGATCTCTGAAAGTCCATTCCAATACAAGGATTTGTGTGTAAGTAGTTTATTTGCAGGTCATTCCAGGAAACGTTGGTAGGAAGTGAATCAGGAGAGGGAAGGAAGCCAATACAGGATGTTGTCAACAGGCCAATTCATACCATTGGCAGTTGGAGCTTAATCTAGCTGGTAACTCTGGGAGACAGCATTGCATACCCTTTGGAGTTATTCCAAGTGAAGCATGAAGGAGCTGAAGAATTCACCCGTAAACTCATTGTTCATCACCGAGTAAGGGCTGCTTTGGGGGTATTAACTCTCCAGCACATCTGGCTAGCCCTGTACACTGGCCACATGTGTTCCCATGGCCTGAAAGTAGTCCTTACGGTTGCTGGGGTTTTCAGTATGTAGACGTGACTGTCAAGGATTTATTAATAGAACACCAATAGCCGCTGTACGGCCCATCCCTTGCACTGCTGGTATCCACTTATGCTCTGTGTCAAATCTACCCAGATCACTAGTACTTAAAAAAAGATTAATAAAAGGATTAGTGAGACAAATTGTAATTGCAATAGTTGATTTCATGGCTGTAATTCACATATACTATCTCTCTCCATCTACTTTCTATACCACTCATTCTTGATCCTCTCAACTGCTGACTAATCCATCTATTGGTCTAAGTTTCTATCTCTGTGAGATAACCAAGATCTTTATCTCTGAGGGGTCTAAGCCCCTGAGTATTCTTCCTTCGTCAGGCCATAGTTGTTACACTTGCCTTTTTACAGTAATCACTGCTGCAAAAACACTAAAAGCCATCCCAGTGGATCCCCGGAAATTTAGCCATATTTTCCCAGTGCCCATGAGGTAGCAATCACCTTTTATCCTCATGATAATCACAATTCATTGCCCCTGCCAGTGTTGTGACTCCCTTCTTGGTCTTCTGGTCTTCTGGCATGAGGACCTCCAAATGACCAGGTGAGCTATGTAACATCAGGTTAGGTGAAAACCTCTGTGTTTCCCGAGTAGCAGTGCCCTCCTTTCCTTTCCCTTCAAGGGGAACTGAGACCTCCAGTCCAGAACAGTGTGAGGACATCCAAGGGAGTCGCTGAAGGTGAGAGTTGATGGGGAGATAGCCCTACTTCCACCCCTTGGCTCCCAGGTCCGTGTATTTTATACAGTAGGAACATAGCATCATAAAGAATAGTTCTCCAATCTCTCAGAGCACTATCCCTAAACTGGTGCTTTAGCTAAAACTTTTGGCGATCATTTGTCAGAGGCCAGCTCCGGCAGGTCCAGGGGTCCCTGAAGGATGGACAGTGTCGGCGAGAGAGAGAGCCCCAAGATCGTTTCTGATCACCAGGCAGAATCTCCATCCTGTCGGTTTTGGTGTCTTTATTTATAGGTCAAATGTTAACATGGCATCAGGAAATGGAATTTTTACAATGGATAGCTCTTTGTGAGATGTTTTTGGAAAATGTACAGAAACAGGTTTTACAGAAGTCTTCTAAAAGAACTGCACCAATTATAGTGAGGTTGGGTAACTAAGAAAATAACAAAGTGTTCACATTTTAATAACGCTAAGATTAAGTCATAGGTTTGTAGATACTCTTATCCATCCTCATCACAGCTTCCAGGGTAAGGGAAGGTGTTTGTGGAATGTAGGCCTTAGGGAAGGGGCTGCTATACACTGTCAGTTAGCAAAGGTGTATGTAGTAACTTATCTTCTGCCCTTATCTGTTCCTTCTCTCTAGGTTAGGCTCTTTGTCTCCGGGCAAGACTTGATTTTCCAGTTATATGCTTTATTGCACCAGAGAGTCAACCATACCTTTAAAGAGTTTAGCTCATTTCCAATACATAGAATAGCCTCTTCGAGTGCATTTACCTTTGTGTCTGCTTTTATGATTTCTTGAATAGCTAGGGCATGAAAGACATTTTTGGCTAGTTGATTTACATGTTGAGCTGTATGAACATCTTGGACTAACGCAACAGTAGAAACAGAACTGTACATGTAAAGGTCAATCTTTTATGAGTAAGGGTCATTATTAGCCTGTTCATAGCTCAAGGGAAGTATGGAGAGAAACAGGACCTGCTGGAGACACGATGTCTGTTCCCATAATTGAAACAAGAAGTTCCCACAATAAGTTCCTTCACAAGGTGCAATCATCATACCAGGGCTGGAATAAGGGGACAAGTCACTCCAGATATTGATCAATAAGGTACCTTAGGGGTCAGTGCTCAAGCAGAAATAATTGAGTTGGGGTGGATATCGGTCATCATCTGATGGGCAAGAGACTGTACAAACTTGCTTTAACCTCACCAGGAGTTTTCTCGACTAGTGGGCTCAGAATGGCTCCCAACAATCATTCCAATGTGGTTTGTGGATAATACTCCAGTAGCATTAGCATACCCAATGGTCACATGTCCATTTTTATACCTCCTTACTATCAAGCCGATCTGTTGATGCAAAGGGATGTGAAATCCTTTACTCATCGTGATAATCAGCCAGCCACTCTGAGCCCTCAGTCCACGTTTCTATGTGTGGCAGTGTGTGGGGAAGGCAAATCATGCCTGGAGTGTGCATTAACCCCAATAACCCAATAAGAAAAGATTTGTACTATCTTCAGGGTGAAAGTGTTCCAATGTAACCAACTTGGCAACCAGTGGGTGGTTGGTCTCCTTGAGGGGTGATTGCATATTAAAGGCTCAGTGTTGTATCTGCTGCTGACAGGTTGGATGTTTGGCAGCAAACTAGCCAAATTTGATGTATGAGAGAAAACCCATGTTTCTGGGCTCATGGAGAACCTCTACTCTACCACCTTGGCTAATCTGTTCACAAGCCTATGCAAGCACCGAAATGGACTAGAGGGGCACTTGAGTGGCTTAGTCGGCTAAGTATCTGTCTCTTGATTTCAGTTCAGGTCATGATCTCACGGTTTGTGGGATTTAGCCCCGAGTAAGGCTCTGTGCTGAGTGCGGAGCCTGCTCGGGATTTTCTCTCTCACTCTCTCTTTCTGCCTCTCCCCGGCTCATGCTTGTATGTTCTCTCTCTCAAAATAAATAAATAAAT